TATACATCGCTCGGTTTAGGGAACATACACTTGTTTTAAGTGAGCAGTGTGACAATACGTAGGAAAATATAAGCGTCCTTGCACACTTGGGTGTGCATGGGTGAGGTGATCCACTCAACTCATTCCGTTTACTACTGTGTGCTATGATAACATTTCCACTCAGTCGAAATGATTTAGCATGACATACCAATTGAAAGGTAAGAAACGAAGAAGAACGCAAAAACGTATACGGGAATCAGAACTAACCCTTGAAAACAACCCCTAGTTCGCAACTATATCTCCTGCGCAGGACAGTCTAACACACACCTGTAGCAAATACCTGTACACCCGTTAAATCGCACAGAACTGTAAACAATTGCCCATATGCTACCACACTCTCCACAATAACAACCAATCACTACACCAGGCACGTACACACCTCGATTAACCGCAGCAGCGCATTGGCCGTTTCGGGTGTCTCTATCCTTCTTGGATGAACACACCCTATACTTCGCTGCACCGCAGGCTCCTTCTCCTCATCCTTACCATTACTAACCTTCTGGCTCGTTTGTGGCCACACCTTGCACTGTGCGTGTGTGGATGTGCCTGTGTTCGTAGACGTGTTTATGACTTCAGAGGGAGAGGTACCCGTGTCTGCTTCCGTAGCTATATCCACACACTCACACTGTGGACGTGTCATGTGCTTGGTAACAAGTGTATACAACCCCCGCATGGCTATGTGGAACTCCATCTGCAGCGCATCAATCTCTTTCGTGTGACGTTGCCGCATCTCTTCCTCTTCAGTCCCCAATGTATTCGGCTGATTAATAGCCCCGCACTCCTCTGTATTAGACTCCCGTCTCTCGCCAGTCGCATCGATTGATATTGTGTGCGATGAAGTGTTGCTTGCCACACCATCTTTGTTGCCTTGCGTATGACCCTCCTTCACTTCGTTTGGTTCCGCTTTCGTGTGCAATGCTTGCATATAATAGGTCCTCTCCCTGGTTTCCTGGCCCACTCTCTCACTCTCCGTATCCTTCACACTCGCATTCGTGTCCTCATCCAACACCTCCTTCTCTGTGCACCGGTCATCTTTTACCTTATTAGTACCTACTGCTGTCGTGTGCGTTGTAGTGCTATCGTACCTACCCTTACCCGCGTCGCTACCCTTGGATAGACCACTTGTATCACAACTACCTGGTAAGCAGTCGTGCTGCGCATTATCAGTGTCTTTCGTAGACTCACTCTGTTTGTCTAATCTCTCCCGTAACTCATTGTTCCTTAAATCTAACTGATTATAATACGCCTGCGCACGTGCATATCGTACACGTAAGCGTGTCGTGAGATGAAAAAAGTCTGCTTGTTCATCTACACCTGTATCCGTGCGTGTGTCTATGTGTACACCATCTACTCGGAAACAGTGGCTAACATCGAGTAGTGCCCGTGCTGATACATGGCCGTGTATACATGTTTGTGAACTCCCTACTAAGTGTTTATTATCACGTACGTGCCTACTATTTCGTACGTTTACCTGCTCACTATGTATATGCACATAACCATGCACATTCTTATCACCACTATCCAGGGTTACCTTCTCACTCGCCTCATCATTACTCACTTCCCCTGATCTTTCATATGAAGAAGAGCAAGATCTGCGCTTTATACCGTGTGCATCAGATCCTTCCACTGCACTTCTCTTACGTGTAACAGGTTCATTCGTTCCCCCAGTACACGTACTGGGCAATCCCCTTCGTATACGCTGTCTTATCAGAGCAGCCTCGCACAGCATGATTCTACAATGGATACACTCCATCGCACTGGTTGTGTGTCGTGCGATGTACGTACGTTGATCGACGTTGTCATCACATGGCCTTTCTTCTTGCTTACATTCATATTGATTGTTCCCATTTTGCGCATGTGAGTTATTTTGTACAATCGTACCACCCTGTGTTCTGTTAATCATGCTATGTACGGTGTTGTTCTCATGTGTGTGTTTGTGCTGGTTATTCCCAATACGCTTACTTGGGCTATCTTGCACACGTGGACTGCTGTGTTCAAAATCGTGTGCTATATTATGCATGCTATGCGCAGTGTCACGATCTGATGAGTCGTGTTGTGATTGTGTTGTCTGCCATCGCTTGCGCCGGTACCATGAGGCCATGCTCTAGCTTCTTATGGGAGTTGGGTTGTGAAATACCTGTGTAGCCATCTCTATACCATATGAAGTATGAATATTTGAATAAATATTCAGAACGAAGCTACATAGGCTGCACAGTCAGTTTTTCGTTTACGTTTAACGTTTGCTGAAAAATGTAGGTGCAACCCGGATTGACGTTTTCCGTTTTCGATTACTCGCTACAGGAAAGTATCAAAGGCCGGTATAAGTATCAAAGACCGGTCGCTGAGATCATTTGATTAGAAGTGAGTAAATATAGTAAACAATATATAATGTATGTATTGTATACGATTATGATCACAAATATCTAAAAGTATATTTAGGTCTGGTTGTGTACGTACAATAGCGGAACAAACAGCAATGTCACAGGTGGGGCACACAGAGGAAGAGAATCTTGGTTATCAACTCAGTCGAAACTAGTCACTATGGCTGCCAGAATACTGAAAATTATCCCGAGTCTGACCAGTCACACGCACAAGGGTCAAGTAGGTATGTGGTTTACTTGTAGGATATATATATATATGTCTGTATGTCTGTATGTATATATGTATGTATGTATGTATGTATGTATGTATGTATGTATGTATGTATGTATGTATGTATGTATGTATGTATGTATGTATGTATGTATGTATGTATGTATGTATGTATGTATGTATGTATGTATGTATGTATGTATGTATGTATGTATGTATGTATGTATGTATGTATGTATGTATGTATGTATGTATGTATGTATGTATGTAT